CTGGTTCTTGTGGTATTATCAGCTTGATCACCTGCTGGGCACAGCAGCCACCTTCAGGAGGAACACCAGACTTCCTGGACCAGCCTGGAGGGAGCCCACTGAACTCAGCAGCCCAAAGATTCCTTCTCTGACGAAAGCCCATCTTCGCGGTTGTGAACCAAGTATCTGTCTCCAAAAGTTCCAAGCATATCTGGGCACATGTGATAAGTGTGCCCTTTATAATGCATGCTTTCCTGTGAGGTAGGGAGGGCATAGGACTCATTGCCACCTGTTATGGAGAAGGTTGGGAGAGAGGAGGCAATTTGCCAAGGTCAGGATTCAGCCACGGCAGAACACTGGGGGGCTGTGGCTTTCCATCCAGAAACGATCACCAGCACATTCCACCACCAACACATCCCCAACCACTGGGCAAAACGCACATTCAGTCTGTAGACAGGACATATTCCAGCCTGAGGCACTTCCCCTTGCAGAAGGCAAGGAATGAGGTGTGGTGGTTTGAGCAGCATGGAGATGAGCACATGAGGAGCTGTGCAAATAGAAGCCCATGGGTTACATAACTGGGGCAGGGCACCAGTCCATGAGATCTATAAAGCATGGCTTGAGCATCTGTCTGCAGGTGGTGGTGGTGGAGGTGGACATGGTGTGTGTATGCGACAGAGGGAAAGCGAGAGTGTACGTAGTGGCGCCTGTGATGAGCTAGACAGGACCTCGAGTCAGAGTCCAGGCCAACAGACTTACTCCCCTGGGGCCTAGCTGTGGGAGGGAGGAGAGGCAGAGCTGCAGGGGAACCTGGGCGCTGGCTAGGGGAGGATTCTAGCAGAAGCTCTGGGGGACTTGCCTTTCCCTTTCACTCCCCCATCCCCCTCACTTCTCAGAGCCTCCATACCATGTCCTCCCACCCTCCCCACACATTTGCTGTCTGCACAGAAGGCATCTGTGAGGGCACAGGAAACCTGTGACCCTCTGATTCCACAACCCTATGACCCACTGAGGCTCAACTTCCCAGACTCATGGAGCCCTGGACTCCAAGGGGGACTTAAGAGGACATTCATGTAACCCCGATTTATAGTTGAGGAACCTGAGTCTCAGAAATAAGATGTGACTAATCTAAGGTCACGTGGTCATTAGTTTCCAGGCAGGGCTAGAACCCAGGAGACCCGGCTCCCAGCTCACTGTTCTTTGCATCCCACTCTACTACTTCATGTATATTTCAGCTAGTTAATTATTGCTTTTTTTTTTTTCTAAAAATAACAATCTCCCTATATATTTCTATGAATCCATATGCTACATTCAAAAAGCCCTTCCCTGGGAGCAGAGAAGGAAATGACATTCTAATAAAAAGGTTTCAACCTGAGACAAGAAGCCCCTTGGGTCCTGTGGGCCAGGGTCCCAGACCACACTCAAGTCACAAAGACCCTTCACACTTCTTGATACTCCATTTAACAGCCTAAAGCCCAACAGGGAACATAGGCATGGGAAGTCCTCCCTTTACAGATGGAGAAAACTGAGGCCCAGGGAGGCTAAGACCCCCCCACCTGCCTGCAAGGAAGTATCAGTTTCACACAGCAAGAATAAGAGGCCTGATCTCCTCCACAGAATCATCTACCCATGCACCTGAGCGCAGGACCCCCCCCCCAAGGTGGAGTCTCTTGGAGAGAGCCATGGAGAGAGGATGGGAAGGCAAGGCAGCCAGGCCCACCCCAGAAGGAGCAGAAGCCTGGCCAGAAGTCAGAGCCCCAGGGTACAGGGTCTGTGGATGTTGGAGCTGCTTTGGCCTTCCCTGTACCAAGGGCATAAAGATGGGCACAGGTGTCCAGACTGCCTCCCGAGATGCTAAAAGAAGCAAAGTCCCCATTTCTCTGAGAAGGAAACTGAGGGACAATAGAATGTGGGGTTGGGGTGCACCTGGCTAGAAGCTACTACCTCCTACTCAGATCAGCTGCAGTGCTGGCCCCAACCTCAGCCCTGGGTGAAGAAGGGGCCACTGGCTTGGAGGCAGAGGACAACTGGACCTCCACTCAGAACACTTTGACCTTGGGACTCCACCCTTGTTCCCAAAGCCAGGGCTCAAGATATCCAGTATCCCTCTGGAGCCAAGGGCGTTCTCCCAGGGGAAGAAGCTTTCTGGATAGGCTCACTGCCAAAGGCCTGCAGCTACAATCCCTGCCAAATTCTGAGAGGTGCATGTGGGGGAAGCTCTCCTCGGCCACCTACTCCCCAGAACATTCGTTCTCCACTTTCCTGACCTTTCTTCCCGGTGAGCCCGTGTGGTCAGGACAGAACACCCAATACCTCTGAGTCTCCGGGGATACAATTTCATCCTCTGCCACAGGAGTGACTTCTCTAGGATTGCAGCCTCACAGGTGACCGCTAGGGACACATATGCCCTCCAGGCGGCTCTCCGGCCTCTGAGTCAAGGTAACTTTTCTGCCCACCTCTTTGCCTCAGCCAAGGCCTCTACTATCCAAGAGGACAAAGAACCAGGGAGTTTTTCTCCTGTCCTTTGTGACCCCACTGGCCTTTATTGGTGAATCTTGCTGTTCCCTTGAGGGAAGGACTTCTGTTTATAATTCTTTGGATATAAAAGGACATAACAGATTGTAGAAGGCTGGGGCTGGGAGGTAGGGGCAAAGGAAGGGGTTGGAGGATGAAAGGAGGAACCCAAGCTGTGCTCAAGCCTTATAAAGACAATCTGGATCCCACCAAATCTGCCCAAAGCACAGGAAAGGCCCCTGAGTATGGGCATGAGCTGGGCAGGCAGAGGCTGCCGGCGTAGAACATGCCCTTGCTTCTCTGGGGTTCTGGACAAACCCACCGAGGAAGCCTCTTTTTCTCCTTAATTGCTCAGAGAGGCCCACATTCCAAGGAAAGTGGAGCCCAGACTCTCCTGTCTTGGGGCCCTGACGTCTCTACCCAGGTCACCTGTTTACCTGTCAGAGGGCTACCCTGTCACTGGGGAGCTAGAGGGGATCTGACTTTGCTCCTTGGCTGAGAAGTTCCCTGATGAGGGAGAACAGGCTTACAGAATCTGCCTGAATCTGCCTGAAGCATCTTAGCCACTGGCATTCCTGTCCGCTCGTCTTCTAGCCCCGAGAACTCCAGGATCAAAGACAAAAGGCTGTTATGCCAAAATGGGGGGAGAGAGGATGGAAGAAGGAAGGAAAGAGGGAAGGAAATGTTTTTTTCTTTTGCTTTCTACCTCCTGGAAATGGGCTGGGGGTAAGGGCAGAGACTGAAGCTGGAAGGTTGGCGGGGGTGGGGAGATGAGGGAGAAAGTCAAGGAAAGTCCTACAGATCCCCCTACCCCAAGAGTTTCCCCTGAAGGCACCACAGACGAACGTAGTCCCCTCTATGGCTTCTGAGGAGAGAAGAAAAAGGCAGGGGAGATAGGAGAATGGAGGGAGGGCACAGCTCAGTCCAGGAAAGAGGCCCCTTGGTCTGGCCACAGCGAGAAGTCCCTGAGGACGGGGGTCAGGGCCTGGGGAACAGGCCTCCACACTGCTGTGCTGCTGCCAAGGAGGCACAGGGATCGTGATCGTGATCACGGGTGGGTCAGGGACAGGGTCAGGGCTGCTTTCTGGAGGGCCAGAACAGAGGGAGCCACGGAGCCGCTGGCCACCTCTGCCCTCCTCCTCCCTGGACTGGCCACCTCAGGCCTGGCCCCACCTGGCCCAGGAGGATGCTGGGAAGGGGCTGGAAAAGGACTCATGTCCCCGGTCCTGGAGTCCCAGGAGAGTCTCCATCCTGGACTTGGGCGGTTGTCTCATACTTCCGCCCCAGGCCTTCTCCTGGGTCAGGCCTGCTGGTTCTCTGCAAGAGCAGCCACTTTCCCGTTTAGCAGCAGCCCTCCTAGCCCAAGGCGGCACATCCCTCGTGCGGGTTACCCTAAGAAGAGTCCCCCGAAGCTCTCAGGGCAGGAAAGAACTTTCGCTCCTTGGCCTCCCTGGGGCTTCTCCATCTCTGGAAGGCATGCCGCAGGTCCTGGGGTTCCCCTGTGTGGCCGGGGCCTCTCTCCAAGGAGGTCTGAGAATTGGAAGCTACTGGGTGTGGGCATGAGGAGGCTGGGAGGCCCACGGGAGGCTGATGCCCTCAGGTGAGTCAGGCTGAGAAGAGCACCGGCTAAATCAAGACTTAAGATGTAGACACGGCTTCCTGCTCCAAGCCCCAGCCAGAAGCGGGCACTGTCAGGCCTGGGACCTGCTGGGGTTGATGGAGGGGCCCTGGTTCTGCTCACACCGCCGTCTCCCGCTCTCTGTGAACTTCCTCCTTCTTCCTCTTCATTTTGCAGAAGCCATGGAGACCACAGAAGCAGGCGAAAGTGAACTGGGGCATGCCCTACGCCAGGCTGGGGGAACACTCACCAGAGATCTGCAGGGAGAGGCAGGGGAGGGAGAGGGGCAGGAGAAAGGCGGGGAGAGAGAAGCAAGCTGGGGTTAATGCTCCCAGAACCCTCTGGGTCTGGCCCAGTCCAGGCCACTCCCTGAGGCGGCCCTGCTAGGTCTCTCACACCGGCTTGGGGAGGAGCCCGGCCTCCAAACAACAGCTCTTTGAAACTTCAGTGTTTCCTGATCTGTGTGGAGCTGATGTCATGCCTCACACTGGAGACTGGGCGAGTCCAAGGGAGAAAAGAGAAAGCCCAGCTGCTGCCTCCTTTGTTCCCCTCCCACCCACTCTGCCTCACCCCATCCCCATACACCTGTGGTTGGGAAACAGGAAGCAAGCGGGCTTAAAATAGGCTCTGGCTTGTGCCACCTTACACAGGTTCCATCTGGGGGCATCCACTCGCTTCTGCAGGCCGCACACACGACAAGCCCTCCTCCATCCTTCATCCAGGGTAGCCTTACTTTGACACCTGAGACTGAGTCAGATTCTTCCCCTCCTGAACAACCCAGCGTTGTCTGATACCCTAGGAGCGCCTGTAGGGAGTGATCATGCACTTCCGTTGATTGCTCAGAGCAATGCAAATCCCAGTCCTCCTCATGGAGAGAACACACAGCAAAGAGAGTTCTTTTAGCCAACAGGCTCTTTTATTTAGCACCTATGTTGGGCAAAGGGGTTGGGAGGTAAATACAAAAGGGCAAAAAGACTTGGTTTGTTCCCTGGCACATAAGTAAGTCTGAGGTAGAGGCTGAGGTTGGATCTGCCCCAGCTGGACACACCGTCCCTCACCTCTGGCTGACCCGGCCCTCAGCAGGAGCCAGGGGCCACTCTGGTATCTGTGGCAGTCTGGCTGGGGAAGAGAGGGAGCTTCGGGAGCTCAGCTTCAGTCTGCAAGAGTATCCCTTTCTCCAAAGGCTCATTTAGGCTCCCTAGCCTTAGCCACCTGCAGATTCTTCCAGTTCACCTCTCTGCCCTTCCTCTGCCCCTGGGCCTGTTGAAAGGGAGCAGAAGTGCATTCAAGTCACTCAAGCAGAGAAGCTGAGAACAAAGGAACCAAAGCGCCCTGCGTGGAGGTCAGGCCCCGGCCTGGTCTGAATCACTTCTCTCTCCAGGAGTAACACTGGGGGCAAGCAGGTGAGTAAAGCCCAAGTGCTGCGGGGAAGGAGGGAGGCACAGGGCTATGCAGGAGGGGTTTGGAATAGGGAAGCATGAGGCGCCTCCCTTCCCCATCCCCTCATGCAATGGGGATTGCAGAGAATGCCCTGGGCCCCCTAGCAAGGCACATGTGCAAAGTGATTTCACTGCCTTTGAGGAATGCGGCATGGCCCAGGTGGTGGCTCTCTGGACAGTTCCACTGATCTGGCCAACCTCGCCCTTTTGGAAAAACTTCCTTCATGTTTCTCCACGCAGAACTGTGGCCCACACCAAGCACAGTGCCCTATGGAGTCCTGTCAGGGTTCTCCCCTCCCTCAGCCTCTCACCACCCTGGTAATACAGCTAATAGCTGTAATTAATAGGTGCAATGCATTTCCACTGACCAGCTGGATGGGCAGGAGGCCCAGCTTGAGTCAGCATGGGTAGGTAGGCTGGTTATTTAATAACCCGGTTTCCAGCACCATTTACACACCCACTCTGGTTGAGTATATATAGTTAGCAGAGAGCAACCTCCAGGATATATATAGACAGAGCTGAGACACAACTACTATATTTCTAGATCTATCTACTGCAGCTATCCCTGGATCCCTCCTGCGACAAACCTAGAGAGAGACACAGATCCAATTTAGGACTTAGGTGGCCTGGGTTCTATTCCTGGCTCTGATGCTGACATGCTGTGTCATCCTAAGCAAGTGGCTACATCTCTCTGGGCCTTCATTATCTCATCTCAGTGTACCAGGAGGTTAGGCAAGGTTTAACACTAAGACCCCAAACCTAAGGGGCTGGAAGGCATTCGGAATTCTAACTTAATCAGGAAGAAGGGAGGGAGGGTGGGTGGATTTCCTCGTAATCAGTTATTGTCATGCATGCACTTCTCTTGCTGGGGGTGTAAGTTAAGGGTATGATCAACAAAGCATTCCCATGATTATTGAAAAATATATGGCTAGAAATTGACAAGCACAACAAGGCTGATCTGGGAAGAAACTCACAACTAAAACAAGCCAGGCAGGTGGCAGCCCCACAACAGGTCTAGGTCTCTGGGTCTCTGGCCCCAGGGTGCACTGATCCTCTTCCCTTTAAAATAGCAAAATATGCCCCCTTAAGTGACCGTTCTTCCCCAGGGTCCTTTGGGGAGTTTAAGAAAATCCTGTGGAGTGTGGGGTCAGAGGAACCAGGACCTACACATCAAAGGAAAGGAGAGCAAATGAAACCAGCCAGAAGGTGGGCTAGGGGCTGCAGCCTGACTCCCGAGAGGTGTTCAAGGGCTGGCTGCCTCAGTGGGATTCCTGGGGCCTTGTATCTAAGGGCAGAAAGTATAATAAAGGGGGTCTGTCTATTCTGTTCAGATCTTTGCTTTAAAGTGCTCTGGTTCTCCTTCCTCTTCTCTAACAGGGTCTCTAAAAGGGTCCTCATTGTAAGGTGCACAACTCCAAGCCCCAGAGGCTGCCTGGGCTTTGTCTGCAGCACACAGATCGCTGGGCCAGCCCCTGAAGTGGGGGGACATGGGGCAGAGAATTCCAACCCATTTCTGTGTCCCTGCCCGCTGTGAATCCCACTCCTCCCTCAGAGTCCCCAGCAGCAGGTACCTGGGGAGTCCCTCTGCCAGGCTGTGGTCTCTGCTCCTCTCTGCTCTGCCCAGGCAGGAGTCCTGTCGACTCTCTTCCCTGTCTTTACCCCTCACCCTTGGCAGAGGGCTTCAGTACCAGCTGGAGGCTCCCTGGGGAAGTCAGTTCCCCTTGCTGCATCTATTTGAGGGGGAGGAGTCTGGACTCGAGCCTGGGTCCACTCCCCACTCATCAGTGCTCATCATGGGAACTCCCCTCCCACCCTCCCACTCCATTTCCATGCCCATAGTCCAGGAGGGACTAAGGAATGGAAAAACAGCCCCCAGAAGCCCAGAATAGGACAGAGAGGCGGGGAGGACACTGGACAAACCTCCTGCCATCACACAGTTGGCTGCAACTGACTGCAAGCTGTTGGCCCTGGCTTCTTCCCCATCCTCCTCTCTGACTTTTCCCCAGCTCAGGTCCAAGATGGTTTGGGGTCTGGGGCATAGACGATGCTCTGCCCAGCCACCTTTGTGGAGCCGAGCAGAAGAGATGCCAATCCACAGAGCACGCGTCCTCCCCCACCACTAGGAGGTTCCTTGGCCTCCCTGCTGATCTCTTTCCTTGGCCTGACCCCCACATCTCTCTGTGCCAAATACTCTCCCGGGGTCCTCCAACCCTTGCACCTCTGGCAAAAATGGGGCAGTGAGTCAGAAGCAGCATGAACATGTGGAAGAACCAAGAGAAAGAGGGGACTCAGAGCAGGCCAGAAAGTAAGATAAAGAGAAATCCAGGGCCCCAGGCGTGCAGACCACAAACTCCTAGGCGTCTCGAATTTTGGCAATGTCCATCAAAGTGGAAGGCAGAGGGGTGGAAGGGTAGGAAGCTATTTAAAAGTGCTGGGACATGCCAGGAATTCTCTGACAAACAAGAAAAGGGATATTGAGCCCCCCACGACCCATCCCCTCATGTCCCAAGGCAGAGAGCAGAGGCGCCCTCAGCAAGGCAATCCCCACCTTCAGTCCTCGCCACCCCCCACCCCAGGTAAAGGGCAAAAAAGAAGTGACCCAGTAAGGAGGGTGTGCCCTCGGCGCCTCTAGAACAAAGCTGAGCCCTCCACCCCCTCCCCGGCTCCCTTAGCACCGCGCCTCAGTAATTAAAATATGAATTCACCTTCCCTCCCTGAGCCATTCATCACTGCGAAGGGAAGCAGCTGCGGCTTAGGAGACCGGATTTGGGGGATTAGCTCGGGCGGTGGAGCAGACACACCAGGAGAAAGAATTAAAAAGGAAGGGGGTGAATTGGGTTTTCTCTCCCCACCTCCTCCCTCTCCCTCTCCCTCTGGCCGCCACGGAGCCTCCTACCCCACCCCTTCCCCCAAAGCCTAGCCTCTGCAGGTTTCTGGGAACTGTAGTCTACAAGACAGTGTTGATAAACAGGCAGGCCAGGGGTGGGTGGTGGCACAAACTACAGATCCCAGGACTTCTTCCCAGAGTTGGCAGCAGCAAAGCTGGGCACAGGCCTCCAGTCTGGGAGAAGCCAGCATTCTCCTTGGAGGTTAACTCCTTCTTGGCCTGCTTGAGCCTGAGCTCCAGTCTCTGGCTCAGCAAGCTCCCTGGAATCACAGGTCAAGGCCCTCTCTGCCCCCAATGGCCTTCAGAGGCCACAGATCCTAGCTTGCCAGGCCAGCCCCACTTGTATCTTGCTTGCCCACCTATGGAGAAAGTTCCCTCCGCTTTTTCAGACTGCAAGGGCAGCCAAGCATTCTCAGTGGTTCTGAGGTTCTTGGGAGCTGGAGGGGTCAGAACAGCAACGGTCCTAAAATGTCTCTGTGGCTTGCACCCAGGGTTTTCCAGCCTGGCTTGGCAGAGGCTGGCCCACCCTAAGAGTGGGCAACGTGACGGGTAGCAGCAGCAGCTGGAAACCTCATGGACCAGACTGTCAGTGCCAGAATGAACCCCAAAGGTCAAACTTTAGTATCAAACTTTCGAAAGATGAGACAGAGACTTTTTTTTTACCCCCAATAGTCTTTATATTTAGAAAGGACTAGGGCTTAGCAGTCAAACTCTATTTCCACTAAAAATGGAACAAATACAATAAGAGAGAGTCATCTGAATTCAGTGTTGTTAAACATGGGCCCACTCTCCCAAGGGAGGCCTTATGCTGCATATTTCTGAGGACTGTAAAAAGGACTTCAGGCACAGTGGCTCACGCCTGTAATCCCAGCACTCTGGGAGGCCAAGGCGGGTAGATCACGAGGTCAGGAGGTCGAGACCATCTTGGCCAACATGGTGAAACTCTGTCTCTACTAAAAATACAGAAAATTTTTAGTAGAGGCGTGGTGGCCCATGCCTGTAATCCCAGCTACCTGGGAGGCCGAGGCAGGAGAACAGCATGAGCCAGAGTCGGAGGTTGCAGAGAGCAGAGATCCCGCCACTGCACTCCAGCCTGGCGAAAGAGTGAGACTCCAACTCAAACAAACAAACAAACAAACAAACAAAAAGACTTAGATTGCTGGGAATAAAGTTTCAGCCGTCTTCAGGCAGGGGGCAGGACACACACAGCCCTCTGATCTGTGGATCCTCCAGGGAGAAGGGGCATGAGGGCAGCTTGCTTATTCAATGTAGTTGCACAATTACGTGAAATATATAATTGTATATCTTCTCCACGCCTGTCCCATTGGCAGTAGGCAGCAGACAAAGAATAGAAAAGAGATCCACCTTTGTAACCTCAGAAGCATCCCAGGCCCAGCCCCGGCAAAGTGAGGACTGTGTTGGGAGAGTTGCTGAGCTGTGGGCTTGCTCTGTGTCCCTGCTAGTGGTAATTTACCTCTTTTACCCCATCCCTCTTTCCTCCCAGTTCACACTTCAACAAACGCTTACTCAGCCATCCCTACAAAGTGTCTTGCCTTGCTGGAGCTTTACAGAGGTATAATCTCTGGAATGGCTCATCTGTACCCTTGCCCCCAGGCCCAGCCCAGTGCTGGGACCCACCTGGACACACTGTACAGGATTCCTGGGAAAGGCCCAGTTGCAGGAGGCAGGACAGGGACATGGCTGTAACTTGACTTTCCAGCTAGGAGATCAGGAGTTAAGGGAAGCAAATCAGGTGTCTGAACAGCCTCCGAGCAGGGTAGGGAATAGGATAGGCTCACTCTGGGCCTAGGGCAGCTGGACAATGAAAGAGATGGAGGAAGGTGCCAGTCATCTCCGAACTCTGAGCGAGAGAACCCAGAGGGCTAGTAAGAAACCTTGGCCAATTCTCATGCCTTGTTTCTTTCACCGTCTAAGCTGGGGCAGGAGGGGAAGTGGCCTGGATCAGCCCCAGCAAAAAACCAGCTGGCCCGGGCTTTCTCTTTGCTTCTCCTATTGTTCTGATCCCCCCCTCCTCCCCACCTCCTGTGGGAAAAGGAAAACCAGTGATGGACAAAGGGCGATTGGAGTTGGGCCACAGGGCCAATTTGTGGCCGTGCAATAGAGACCTCATTAGAACCACCTCTCCTGCGAGTGCAGCACCCCCTGGTTTTCACAGTACTTTACCATGCACTGGTGTTGGTTCTCCCCATAGGCAGCATAATGTGCTAGGAGCAAAGGTTTTGGCACCAGACCACATGGGTTCAAATCCCAGCTCTGCTCCTTCCTATCCATATGAGCTTGGGCCAATTTCTCAGCTCCCTGTGCCTCAGACTTCCCATAAGTAAAATGGGCAAATAGTAGATAGGACTGCCTTGAGGATGAAATGAGTTAGTACAGATAGGGTGGTTAGAATCATGTAGGTACCCAGTAAATGTTGGTTGGCTCAATTAAGGGTTCTGAGATATTATAAGAAACTTGCCTTCTGATTGTCAATACCAAATCTAGTAGTTTCTATGATTCTTCAATGGTCTGTCTTAGACTGGGGACTGGAACAGGGTGGGGTGGTGGCTAGAAAGTGGGGCACAAGGGTGCTTCCTATTCCAACCCAGCCAGATTGCCCACTTTATTTCCACCTGTTGGAATCTTCCAGGCTGGTAGGGATAAAGTCAGGCTAATTTAAAAGGGACAGCAGAGACAGACATAGGGAGGAGCCAGGCAAGCTGATAAGCAGGATGCTGGTAGGGGCAGGGGGAGGAGGGCAGGTGCCCTTCACACACCTCAGTAGGAGAGGGTAGCACACCAGGAGCTAGGGACCTTGGAGTCCAGCCTGCCACCCGGGGGAGCTGCTACCTTCCTAGTTTCACTCTGCAGATACCTCCTCTCCCCTCGGGGCCAGCATGGAGTGTTCCTGTTTTAGCCTCAGCAAGAGCCCAGAGGTCTCCTGACACATAAAAAGGCTGCAGATTCCAAGCTGACCTCGGAGAAAGGAGTGAAAGAGTGAAGCTTTCCTGGAGGCATTGAGCAAAGGCCCAAGTCTTCATGGCCTGATGCCCTTGACTCCAGCCTCCAAATCTCTGCCATGAGCCAGGCCTCAGTAACTTGGCAAGGGGGAAGGAATCAATTCAGAAAGCTCGGCACACCCTGAGGGTCTCCCTCCTTCCTCAGAGGGAATCTCCCTCTGGAATAACCGGCCCAGTCTCTTCCTTGCAAAGTGAGGAAACATGGCCAGAGGGGAAGTGACTTGGCCAAGGTCACACAGCCTAGCCCCATCCCAGGTTAGCACATCCCCTGATGCCCCACCCCTAAGCAGAGCCTCCTTCTGGTGCCCCTTGGTGGCTGGCTCCAAACCTGGTCCCGTGGGAGGTGCAGCTGCTGCAGGAGAAGGAGCTTGCCCCTCACTGTAGCCCATGGCTTTTAGCCCTACATGAGTTTGGGACAGCAATCACATAGGAATGAAAAGCCATAGGCCACAGCAGAGTGGAGGGGTCCAGCGGCAGGAATCTCACAGGGAAGCGAGAATCTGGGGTACCTGAGAAGCCCTCACTCCCCTTTCTCAGCACCCCCCACCCCAGACCCACCCACACTGCCTCCCTCCAGGACTGGGCCCCCCAGTTTAAATTCTCTCACCATCCTCCACCACCTGCACTAAAGCCATCCCGGTAATGAGTTTCCAGTTCTTGCCCTACAAAGGCCTCACACAACGGTCCTCACTCCAGGGTATGAGGAGGGGTGGCTTCCAGGCCATAAAGGACCTCCTCAAATTCCCTTAATTAGCTTCCAGCCCCCAACCCAGGGTCCTTAACTACCCCTCCCGTAAAGAATAAGGCCGGATCTTTTCAGGGCTGCTGCTGCCAGTGCCCAGGATGGGCTGGAGGGGGTGGAGGGGGGCAGGTTAGGCTCCCTCCTTACAAGCTTAACCCTTTCTCGTCCAGCCACTGGAAGCACAGAGGGCAAAGGAGGGTCTGGGCAAAGGAGGGCAGAGATGAGGGCCTGCCCTTTGTTTAGAGGGGTAAATAGGTTTCTTGAGTGTCCCCAGGGTGGGGGCTGGGCCACTCTTCCCAGACCATTCTGGTGGTTACTGACAACACCCATTCTTACATAGTTTAGAGAGTGAGATCTCCATCTCCAGACCTGGTTGGAGGCAGAAAGAGGGCTGGAGCTGAAATCTCCCCAAGCTGAGGGCAGCTCACTCTGTAGCAGTCTTATCGAGGCTGTGGAAGGGGTGCGCAGTGCCCTGCGGCTCTCCTGGGCGGGACAGGCATCTCCAGGACTGGACTGAAGAGCTGATTGAGGGGAACCAAGGTCTCAGGGCCCTGGAAAAGGTGTGTTCTAATCACAAGTACCAATTCCCCATCCCCTCTCCTGTGCCAGGTCTGCTGCGGGCATCAGCTTCAGAGAAGTGGGCCTCTAGGGCTCCTGCTAGTCCAGGCTCAGGAAAGCCCAGGGGACTCAGACCTCTCCCAGGGGCCCCCAGGAGGATGGTAAGAGGCCACAGGCCCAGATCAGGCCCTGCCTCTGCCAGGGAATAGCTGCCCTTCTCACCACAACTCTACCCCCAGCCCCAGGGCTACACCTGCTGGCTCTCTGCACTACCCTGGTTGGAGCAACCTGCTTTCACTGGACAGGAATCCTGCATTCCCCAACAGCAGCACAGCACAGCACAGCACAGCACAGCACAGCACAGCACAGCACCCCCCTCCACACTCCAGCCATGCCCAACCTTCAGGGCCAAACAACCAGGCATCCTGCAGCCTCCCACCTGAACTTTGGGTCATCCACCCCAGCCCAGCCCCCTCTGGTTCTCCTTTCCTTCCTCTCTCCTGGGGCCAGCCATGGACTCTAGGCAGAATGCCCTCAGCTCCCTCCCAAGGGATGCTGGGCCAGGGGGTGGGGGTCCCAGGGGCTGCTCACCTGGCGGGCTCAACAAGCTTCCCTCTCCCTCGAAGTCTCCCTCACAATTCCCCGCAGAACCACTTCCTGCCTTCCAGGCAGCCACTCACTCCCCCACTCACCCCTCAGAAGCTCCACGCCCCAGCCAGGGCAGGCCTCTTCCCTCCCCTGCCCGCCCACCACCGGCCAGGGCTGAGCTGTGCCCAACTCAACTTGACTCACTTGTGACCTGCCCCTCCCCCAGCCCTGAGGACGGTGGGGGTGGGGGCGGGCTGGGCAGGCGGGGCAGTCAGGTATTCCTTCAACCCTGACTTGGGCCTGAGTAACAAAGGTCTCATTGAGCCTCTGGCTGTCTGGTCGGTGAAGCACAAACCTCTTGTATCTACTGGCTTTTGATCTCACTCCCTCTGAACCAGCCATGTATTACTCATGTCCCCCTGCCGGGCTATTGGTGCGGAGGGGCCGTTTGGTCCCTCCCTCCCTCCCCACCTCCTTTCTCTCCTTCCTTCCCCTGCCGCTCCCCTCCAGCTTTTTTATGGTTTAATTTTTGGCAGGAGACCTGAGATGGCTCCCTGCAGGCCCCCTCTCCTGCCTGGCCACCCTCCCCTTCTCCACAGCCCTGGTTCCTCTCCTTACTCATACCCCCTACTCCGCTCCCACCACTCCCCTGCTCTGGGAGGACAAGGTCAGCACTTGTCTGTCCTTCCATTTCCTTCCTCGGACCAGCTCGAGCCTGGCCCATCCACCCATCCTCACCCAGTCCTGCCCATGGATCCCCATAGCCTCCGATCCCAGCTGCCTATCCTTGGGCACAGGAAGGGCTTAGCCCCTGGCCTGCCTGCTAGACCCAGCCCACCAGACAAGCCTGGAATAAGCTCTGGAAGTGGGCAGTCTCTCTCAGGTGTGTCTGGACCAGAAGGACTGGGCTGGGGGTGGAGGTGGGGACAGCCATCACGTCTCAGGCCAGACTGAACCTCACTTGGA